GGGTGTATGGGGATAGATAGATAGATAGATAGATAGATAGATAGAGGGGATGGATGGATGGATGGATAGATAGAGGGGGTGTATGGGGATGGATGGATGGATGGGAGGTGTACGGGGATGGATGGATGGATGGATAGAGGGGGTGGATGGGGATGGATGGATGGGGGGTGTACAGGGATGGATGGATGGATAGAGGGGGTAGATGGGGGTGGATGGATGGATGAATGGGGGGTGGATGGCGATGAATGGATGGATGGGGGGTGTACAGGGATGGATGGATGGATAGAGAGGGTGGATGGGAATTGATGGGTGTGACAGTCAAAAGCAAAAAGCCTGCCCTGGGAAAATCCCTTTTCTTTCTCACCTGCAGCTTCCTGGGGCGCTGATGGGGCTGGGACAGCCGGTGTCCTGGCCCAGGAGGTGTTGGGGGAAGTTCTCACACTTCAGCTCAAAGCTGGAGATGCCATATGGGTTTTTATGGCTTGAGAAATCACAGCAGCCCGGAATTAACGTGCCTGAAATGGATGGCTGCTAACTGCGGGTTGGAGGGGGGGTCTACCCCAGCTCTGACACCTGGAGAACAGAAGGGAGCATGGATAGTCTGGGGACGCCAGGGCTGGGGAGATGATGTGTATGGGGGGCAAGGGTGGATAGACAGAGAGGGAGTTGTATGGGGGTAGATAGAGAGAGGGTGTGAAGGGTGGATAGATAGATAGAGGGTGTTTATGGGGCTGGATGGATGGATGGCTAGAGGGGGGTATGGGGATGGACAGATAGAGGGTGTGTAGGGGAATGGGTAGATAGAGGCAGTTTATGGGAAAGGGTGCATGGATAGCTTGAAAGAGGGGGCCTGAGGATGTGTGGGTAGATAGGTAGCAGGGGTGTATGGGGATGGGTGAATGGGGTGGCCTGAGGGTGTGTGGGTAGACAGGTAGTGAGGGTGTATGGGGGGCCTGAGGATGTGTGGGTAGACAGGTTGCGGGGCTATATGGGGATGGGAGGATGGGGTGGCCTGAGGATGTGTGGGTAGACAGGTTGCGGGGGTGTATGGGGATGAGTGAATGGGGGGGCCTGAGGATGTGTGGGTAGACAGGTGGTGGGGGTGTATGGGGATGGGTGGATGGGGGGGCCTGAGGATGTGTGGGTAGACAGGTTGTGGGGGTGTATGGGGATGGGTGGGCCTGAGGATGTGTGCGTAGACAGGTGGTGGGGGTGGATGGGGATGGGTGGATGGGGGGGCCTGAGGATGTGCGGGTAGACAGGTGGTGGGGGTGGATGGGGATGGGTATATGGGGGGGCCTGAGGATGTGCGGGTAGACAGGTTGTGGGGGTGGATGGGGATGGGTGGATGGGGGGGCCTGAGGATGTGCGGGTAGACAGGTGGTGGGGGTGGATGGGGGGCCTGAGGATGTGCGGGTAGACAGGTGGTGGGGGTGGATGGGGATGGGTGGATGGGGGGGGCCTGAGGATGTGTGCGTAGACAGGTTGCGGGGGTGTATGGGGATGGGTGAATGGGGGGGCCTGAGGATGTGTGCGTAGACAGGTTGTGGGGGTGTATGGGGATGGGGGGGCCTGAGGATGTGCGGGTAGACAGGTTGTGGGGGTGTATGGGGATGGGGGGGCCTGAGGATATGTGCGTAGACAGGTGGTGGGGGTGTATGGGGATGGGTGGATGGGGGGGCCTGAGGATGTGTGCGTAGACAGGTGGTGGGGGTGGATGGGGATGGGTGGATGGGGGGGCCTGAGGATGTGTGCGTAGACAGGTTGAGGGGGTGTATGGGGATGGGTGAATGGGGGGGCCTGAGGATGTGTGCGTAGACAGGTTGTGGGGGTGTATGGGGATGGGGGGGCCTGAGGATGTGCGGGTAGACAGGTTGTGGGGGTGTATGGGGATGGGGGGGGCCTGAGGATATGTGCGTAGACAGGTTGCGGGGGTGTATGGGGATGAGTGAATGGGGGGGCCTGAGGATGTGTGGGTAGACAGGTGGTGGGGGTGGATGGGGATGGGTGGATGGGGGGGCCTGAGGATGTGTGGGTAGACAGGTGGTGGGGGTGTATGGGGATGGGGGGGCCTGAGGATGTGTGGGTAGACAGGTGGTGGGGGTGTATGGGGATGGGTGGGCCTGAGGATGTGTGCGTAGACAGGTGGTGGGGCTATATGGGGATGGGTGGATGGGGGGGCCTGAGGATGTGTGCGTAGACAGGTGGTGGGGCTATATGGGGATGGGTATATGGGGGGGCCTGAGGATGTGTGGGTAGACAGGTGGTGGGGGTGTATGGGGATGGGTGGATGGGGGGGCCTGAGGATGTGCGGGTAGACAGGTGGGGGTGGATGGATCCCATCGATGATCATGTGACAAAAATTAGCCGGCAGGTTATAAAAAAGATCCGGAAAGAGCTCAAGATAGAAACTCTTGTGAGCTAAGTCGATGGATCTAGGTTCTCTCAGCAGCCCTTCTCTGGGGCATGTTTCTCCCTTACCCGGGGCCCACTCTCCGACTGTCTGGGGCAGATGTTGGGAGTGGGGGGCAGCAGAGATGGTAACACAACCCTGTGCACTGAAAGCGAAGAACTGGGAGAGCTGTGGAGAGCCAGATGTTGAAACATCTGCAAGGGGGGATAGGCAGGTAGAGAAAGCCTCTGGCAGCTGCATTGGTGGTTCAGTGGTAGAATTCTCGCCTGCCACGCGGGAGGCCCGGGTTCGATTCCCGGCCAATGCAACCAAGTAGTTTTTGGTTGGTTTTCTGCTTTCCCCAATATCGTGCATCCCCGGCAGAGAGTCAACAGCGATGTCCATCCTCCGCTCTCATCCTTCTTCTTTCCCACGGCGATGGGGTGACCAGAGAGCAAGGGTGAAAAATCCAGGGATGGGGAGGGTTTCATTGCCTGTATAAAACAAAACCCCTAATATAGGGACGGTCCCGTTAATATCAGGGCATCTGCTCACCCTATCTGGCATGAGCCAAACCGCAAAAGTGATGGCGGGACACAGATTGGCTCTTAAGGTTCCCGCACCCTCTATCTATCCATCCCCACACACCCCATCCATCCATCCATGCACCCATTCCCATAAATACCCTGCATCTATCCAGCCCAGAGCCCAGGGGATAGCCATGGGAATGGATGAACCTAAACTGGGCAATTGTCCATGATGTACCACTCGTCCCGATTGTCATTACACAGGGTGGCTAAGTGTGTTTGGCGCATCTTATCCCAGCCTGGTTTCCCATCTTGCTGCCCTTCTGGGTGACACAGGCCTGGGGCCTCCCACATCCCCGCAGGGCTCCCATTTCTCCAGGCTTCTCAGCTGGCTGCTACAGCCATGTTCTCTTATTATTCTCATCATCATTGTTGGGGGTAGGGAGGGGGAGTCTGGGTGATTTCAGTCAAGGCTCCTTGCCTCCCTGGCCCCTGTTTCTCTCCCTCACCACCCCCAACCAGCGAGAAACACACGGAAAGATCTAACAGGCCTAAAATCTTTCTCCCCCCTCCCTCCATTGGTAGACCACATGGGTGACAATCCAGGTCATCGGAGGGGGCGCAGCGCTGTGGTCAAGAGGCAAGGAGCATGGTGGGCCTGGGGTGCTCACGGCAATGGGGGGGGAGGCAGTGGGAGCGGGGGTGCATGTGTGGAGGAGCCGGGGGAGACAACAGGGGCCAAAGGGGATGGGTTGGGATGGATGGGGTGGCAGCAGGGGCCTGGGGATGCCAAAATACAAGTTCATCCAGAGTGCCATTTTCCCTAAGGCTGGCCCTGCTTCCCTCCCATCAATTGCTTCCTGAGGAAAACTTGATTGGAACAAGGCTGGTGGGAGCTGGTTTTCTTTCCGTCACCCACATGCTCCACATCAAGTTTCTACAGCCAGACCCTGTGGGCCCAAGTTGGAGGGGGTATCTCTGGAGGGGATATTCGGGTAGGGCAGGGCCCTATTCCTGTGGGGTGAGCCTGGGTACCCTACACATAGACCCTCTCAGCTAATCTTTGCAATCCCCCATCCCGGGAACTCCAGCAGCAGTTTCCCGATTTCCCCCCACCCCAGCCCCCAGCCCAGTGGTGGGAGCCTGGGAACGCCTGCCAGGGGTGTGTGTGTCAATTCCCCTCCTTTCATCCAGCCGATGAAAGTGACAAGATTGCTCCAAAGCACCCCGGTCTCCACACCTGAAGCCATCAAGGGAGGCAGGGAGGAGTATCATTTGCTATGGGTCAAAGGGGGGGCTGTTGGACCCCCCCCAGCCCTTGGTTCATCTCCCCCCCCAAAAAACAACAACAACTTTTCATCGGTCTATCTTGTCCTCCCCCCAGGTCTTTACAGGACGTGATATAATGACCGGTAATATCGATATCCTGACACAACTTGCCCCCCTTCACCACCCAGGAATTTTTCTGAATTAATGCCAAGGCTGGTTTGGAGCAATCCTGTCACTGTGAGTGAGTGAGGAACAAAGGAAGAAAGGAAGGAAGGAGGGAAGGAAGGAAGAACGAAAAAAGGGAAAATCTAAAAGAAAGAAAGAAAGAAAGAAAGAAAGAAAGAAAGAAAGAAAGAAAATCCCATTAAAAAAAAGAAAGACAAAATCTAAGAAAGAAAAAAAACCCAGGAAAGAAAGGAAAAAAGAAAGAAGGAAAGTGCAGGCCCAGAGTGAGAGGCAGAGGAGAGGGGTGTGAGGAAGAGGAAGGAGAAGAGGAAGGAAAAGGGGAAGACAAGAGACAGCCCCCAGGTTCACTGACCCAGCCCCTGAGATTCAAACTCTTCCCTGTGGCCTGCTCCACAAAAGGGGCACAGGGTGGAAATGAAGCCAAAAGGAATTCCCACTGTGCATTGGCCGGGAATCGAACCCGGGCCTCCCGCGTGGCAGGCGAGAATTCTACCACTGAACCACCAATGCTACAGCTGAAGGGGCCTCCACGGCCTTCCCCTGACAGATGTTCTCACATCTGCCGGCCTCCAGCTCTTGCACATTTCTGCCTGCAGGGCGTGCAAGGCACTGCCTTCTCTGATGCTGCTCCCCTCCTCTGGGCTGTCCTCCCAGGAACAGCGTCTCTCTGTGTGTCTCTGTGTGTGTGTCTCTGTGTGTGTGTGAGAGAAAGAGAGAGACAGGCAGAGAGCAGCAGGAAATGGGAACAGAGTGAGGGCTACATACAGCAATGACAGTGGCCTGGTCTATACTACCAGGCTGGGTTCAATTCAGCCGCGTTAAGTTGATTTTAAAATGACTGCGTCCACACAACCGACCCCAGTCCGTTGACCTTAAAATCCACCGCTGTACTCCTCCCCGACAAGGGGAGTAGTGCTAAAATCGACCTTGCTGGGTCAAATTTGGGGTAGTGCGGATACAAATCGATGGTATTGGCCTCCAGGACCTATCCCAGTGTGACCGCTCTGGACAGCACTTTCAACTACCCCACCACTGTCCCTGGACACCTGCAAGGGGGGAGTCTCATGCATCAGGGAGGAGGATTTTGTGGATGCGGGGGAGGAAGAGAATGAGCAGCAGGCACGTGGTGAATCCGTTCTCCCCAGCAGCCAGGACCTTTTCATCACCCTGGAGCCAATACCCTCCCAAGGCGGGATCCCCGACCCTGAAGCCGGAGAAGGCACCTCTGGTGAGTGCACCTTTGTAACTACAGTACAGGGTTTAAAAGCAATAGTGTTTAATGTCTGATTTGCCCTGAAGAATTGGTACAGCTAAGGGAAAAGTCTATTCACATGTCTGGGGATGGAGCGGGAACCCTCCAGGGACGTCTCCATGAAGCTCTCCTGGAGCTACTCTGAATGCCTTTGCAGAAGGTTTCTGGGGAGGGCTGCCTTATTTTGTCCTCCACAGTAGGACACTTTACCACGCCAAGCCAGTAGCAAGTAGTCTGGAATCATTGCAGCACAAAGCATGGCAGCTAATGGTCCTGGGTTTTGGTCGCATTCAAGCCACATTCGGTCTTTGTCTTTCTGTGTAAGCCTCAGGAGAGTGATATCATTCATGGTCACCTGATTGAAATAGGGGAATTTTTGTAAGGGAACAGTAAAAGGACACAGTTCCTGCTGTTTGCGCTTGGCTAAAAGGGATCATCCCGGAGAATAGCCACACGGTGGGGTGGGGGTAGGTGTGTGCTGCACATCCACCCGAAAACCACAGCCTCTCCTTTTAAATGTGAAACCCAACCCGTTGCTTGCTATGGGAAAGGATGGCGCTGCAGTGTGAAACCATTCCCACATGTTATGCATAAGAAGCCAACCCTGCGTACCCTGAGCCTTACCATGGCTGCCTGGAAACTGAATTCTGCTGCCCACCTGTGTGTGATGTGTCACCATACCGGCAGGCATGCAATATAAAAGGCAAAATGTGACCGTGTACCTAAAGCACATGTGCTGTCTGCTGTGAATTGCTTGATTCACTGTGAAAGAGTCTCCCTTTTGTTCTCAGAAATGTATCACCTTAAATTTTACTCTCCCTTTTTATCTCCCCCCAGGTGCAAATGTTTTTACTCTCCCGCTATCATCTCTGTCCCTGAGGTTATCGCAGATTAGAAGGCGAAAAAAACGCACTCGAGATGCCATGTTTGCCGAGCTCATGCAGTCCTCCCCCACTGATAGGGCACAGCTGAATGCATGGAGGCATTCAGTGTTAGAGGCCAGGAAAGCATTAAGTGAGCGTGACGCATAGAGGCAGAAGCGCAAAATGTGGAAGCAGGAGGTGATGCTGAGGCTATTGGGAGAGCAAACGGACATGATGAAGCATCTGGTGGAGCTGCAGGAAAGCCAACAGGAGCATAGACCCCCACTGCATCCATTGTATAACAGCCTGCCCTCCTCCCTGAGTTCCATAGCCTCCTCATCCAGACGCCCACGAATGCGGGTGAGTAGGCTCCGGGCACCCAGCCAGTGCACTCCAGAGGATGGTACATACAACAGAAGGCTGTCATTCAAACAGTTTGATTTGTAGTGTGGCAACAAAAAGCAATGTGGCCTTGTCCTTCCCTCCTCCCCCACCTCACCTGGACTATCTTGTCAGTTTTCTCACTTTTTTTTAATTAATAAAGAGAGAATGCATGGTTTCAAAACAATAGCTACTTTATTTTGAAGGCGGGAGGGAGGGTGGTTTTGTTACAGGGAATTAAAATCAGACAAGGGGGGAGGGTTTGCATCAAAGAGAAACACACACAATGGTCACACTGTAGCCTAGCCAGTCATGAAACTGGTTTTCAAAGACTCTCTGATGCGCAGCTTGCCTAGCTGTGCTCTTCTAATCGCCCTGGTGTCTGGATACTCAAAATCGGATGCCAGGCGATTTGCCTCAACCTCCCACCCAACCATAAATGTCTCCCCCTTACTCTCAGAGGTATGATGGAGCACACAGCAAGCAGCAATAACAATGGGAATGTTGGTTGCTCTGAGGTCTAACCTAGTCAGCAAACAGCGCCACTGCGCTTTTAAATGTCCAAAGGCACATTCTACCACCATTCTGCCCTTGCTCAGCCTATAGTTGAACTGCTCCTTACTACTGTCCAGGCTGCCTGTGTACGGCTTCATGAGCCATGGGAGCAAGGGGTAGGCTGGGTCCCCAGGGATAATTATTGGCATTTCAACACCCCCAGTGGTAATTTTGTGGTCTGGGAAGTAAGTCCCTTCTTGCAGCTGCTCGAACAGCCCGGAGTTCCTAAATATGCAAGCGTCATCCCACGGTGATGTCGGTGAGACGTCCCTTGTGATCCACCAGAGCTTGCAGCACTATTGAAATCCTCCTCATGCTGATGCCTCTTAGCCCGGTTCTGCATATACTCCAGGATAATGTGAGAGGTGTTTACAGTGCTCACAACAGCAGCGGTGACAGTGAGCTGAGCGGGTTCATAGAATCATAGAATCATAGAATATCAGGGTTGGAAGGGACCCCAGAAGGTCATCTAGTCCAACTCCCTGCTCAAAGCAGGACCAATTCCCAGTTAAATCATCCCAGCCAGGGCTTTGTCAAGCCTGACCTTAAAAACCTCTAAGGAAGGAGATTCTACCACCTCCCTAGGTAACGCATTCCAGTGTTTCACTACCCTCTTAGTGAAAAAGTTTTTCCTAATATCCAATCTAAACCTCCCCCACTGTAACTTGAGACCATTACTCCTCGTTCTGTCATCTCCTACCATTGAGAACAGTCTAGAGCCATCCTCTTTGGAACCCCCTTTCAGGTAGTTGAAAACAGCTATCAAATCCCCCTCATTCTTCTCTTCTGCAGGCTAAACAATCCCAGCTCCCTCAGCCTCTCCTCATAACTCATATGTTCCAGACCCCTAATCATTTTTGTTGCCCTTCGCTGGACTCTCTCCAATTTATCCACATCCTTCTTGAAGTGTGGGGCCCAAAACTGGACACAGTACTCCAGATGAGGCCTCACCAATGTCGAATAGAGGGGAACGATCACGTCCCTCGATCTGCTCGCTATGCCCCTACTTATACATCCCAAAATGCCATTGGCCTTCTTGGCAACAAGGGCACACTGCTGACTCATATCCAGCTTCTCGTCCACTGTCACCCCTAGGTCCTTTTCCGCAGAACTGCTGCCTAGACATTCGGTCCCTAGTCTGTAGCTGTGCATTGGGTTCTTCCGTCCTAAGTGCAGGACCCTGCACTTATCCTTATTGAACCTCATCAGATTTCTTTTGGCCCAATCCTCCAATTTGTCTAGGTCCTTCTGTATCCTATCCCTCCCCTCCAGCGTATCTACCACTCCTCCCAGTTTAGTATCATCCGCAAATTTGCTGAGAGTGCAATCCACACCATCCTCCAGATCATTTATGAAGATATTGAACAAAACTGGCCCCAGGACCGACCCTTGGGGCACACCACTTGATACCGGCTGCCAACTAGACATGGAGCCATTGATCACTACCCGTTGAGCCCGACAATCTAGCCAGCTTTCTACCCACCTTGTAGTGCATTCATCCAGCCCATACTTCCTTAACTTGCTGACAAGAATACTGTGGGAGACCGTGTCAAAAGCTTTGCTAAAGTCAAGAAACAATACATCCACTGCTTTCCCTTCATCCACAGAACCAGTAACCTCATCATAGAAGGCGATTAGATTAGTCAGGCATGACCTTCCCTTGGTGAATCCATGCTGGCTGTTCCTGATCACTTTCCTCTCATGTAAGTGCTTCAGGATTGATTCTTTGAGGACCTGCTCCATGATTTTTCCAGGGACTGAAGTGAGGCTGACTGGCCTGTAGTTCCCAGGATCCTCCTTCTTCCCTTTTTTAAAGATTGGCACTACATTAGCCTTTTTCCAGTCATCCGGGACTTCCCCGGTTCGCCACGAGTTTTCAAAGATAATGGCCAATGGCTCTGCAATCACAGCCGCCAGTTCCTTCAGCACTCTCGGGTGCAACTCGTCCGGCCCCATGGACTTGTGCACGTCCAGCTTTTCTAAAAAGTCCCTAACCACCTCTATCTCCACAGAGGGCTGGCCATCTCTTCCCCATTTTGTGATGCCCAGCGTAGCAGTCTGGGAGCTGACCTTGTTAGTGAAAACAGAGGCAAAAAAAGCATTGAGTACATTAGCTTTTTCCACATCCTCTTTTTTCCATGCTTACCGTGGTATGGCATCTGCATGGAAAAAAGGCGTGAAACGATTGTCTGCTGTTGCTTTCGCGGAGGGAGGGGCGGCTGATGACATGTACCCAAAAACACCCTCAACAATGTTTTTGCCCCATCAGGCACTGGGAGCTTAATCCAGAATTCCAATGGGCGGCGGAGACTGCGGGAACTGTGGGATAACTACCCACAGTGCACCCCTCGGTAAGTCGACACTAGCCACGGTAGTGAGGACACACTCTGCTGACTTAATGTGCTTAGTGTGGACATATGCAATCGACTGTCTAAAATCAATTTCTAAAAAGTGACATCTATAAAATTGACCTAATTTTGTAGTGTAGACATACTTAATGGTTAGAAACTGTCAGGGCTGGGGGAAGGGTGTCCCCCTCATTTGAGAGGTCCCCCAGAACAATGGAGGCTGAATTTGAGTGATCCATCCCCTGTTGTCCAGTCTCAGCATCTGGCAGACAGAAATTTGTGAACATGGGACACTCTGACCATCTTGGCTAACAGCCATTGATGGACCTATCCTCCAGGAACTTATATATATATTTGAACCCAGTTATATTTCTGGTCTTCACAACGTCCCTTGGCAACTCAGGGGTGGCGCCTGCCATCAGTATGGCAGGAGGCCATGCACCCACCTCAGCGCCCACTGTCCCTACACATGGCATCAGTACACAGGGCTTGAGGCGAACAGCTGGGCGGAGAGGTAGCAGCAGGGTGATGGATGCTGTAGGACCAGCAGCATCTGTCAAGCTGCTCATCCCTGCGGCCCTGAACAGCTGAACAGAGATTAAAAAGTCTGGGGCTTTTCCCCTTGGAACTGAGACAACCGAGAGGAGATATGACAGAGGTCTATAAAATCGTAACCAGTGTGGAGAAAGTGAACAAAGGAGGGTTATTTACCCCGTCACATAACACAAAAAGCTGGGGTCACCCAAAGAAATTAATAGGCAGCAGATATAAAACAAACAAAAGGAAGTATTTCTTCACACAACGCACCATCAACCTGTGGAACTCCTTGCCAGGGGATGTTGTGAAGGGCCATACATAGAACTGGGTTAAAAAAAGCCTTAGAGACATTCAGGGAGAAGAGATCCAGCTATTAGCCAAGATGGGCAGGGAGTCAACCCCATGCTCTGAGTGTCCCTAGCCTCTGTTTGCCAGAAGCTGGGAATGGCTGACAGGGGTGGATCACTCAATGATGACCTGTTCTCTCCCTCTGGGGCACCTGGCATTGGCCACTGTCAGAAAACAGGAAACTGGGCTAGATGTATGTTTGGTCTGACCCAGAATTGCCATTCTTATGACCCCTCCACCACTTCCTCCCCCGCCAAACCCTCCAGGGCCCACTGAACTGGGATTCTGCATCCACCCCTGATTCTAACCCTTCTTATTGGTTGAAGACCAGGTGTCGTGTCATGTCATCAGCGTTGGCGTCCCTTCTTCAGTTGCACCATGCAATAAAGGCAGCATCAGTTACATGACTCATTGTGTTGTCTCGCTCTGTGGCATGTGTTTTTCTCCTTGGCGCCCGGCACTCTTCTGTGTCTCACATCGTTCTGTGCCTGCATTGCCGGGTTGGGTATAATGCTGTCGTGCAGAGATGTGTTACGGGGGGAGGTTATTTGTCAAGCCATACATAATTCATCGCTCACACGTTCTCGAGTCCCTTTTTGTTTGGTGTCTTTCGCCATTCCCGCTCACGAAAGAGCATGTGGTAATTGCATTTTATTATCATCATTTTGGGGCTGCGGGAGAGCCTGAGTGATTTCAGTTAAAGCGATTTGCCACCTAGCCCCCCATGTCTCTCAGAATGTTGGGAATCATTAAGAAAGGGATAGAAAATAAGACAGAAAATATAATATATAAATATATATAAATATAAATATATACATCCATGGTACGCACACTTCTTGAATACTGTGTGCAGATGTGGTCAGCCCATCTCATAAAAGATATATTTGGAATTGGAAAAGGTTCAGAAAAGGGCAACAAAAATTATTAGGGGCATGGAACGGCTTCCATATGAGGAGAGATTAATAAGACTGGGGCTTTTCAGCTTGGAAAAGAGACAACTAAGGGGGGATATGCTAGAGGTCTATAAACTCATGACTGGTGTGGAGAAAGTAAATAAGGAAGTGTTATTTACTCCTTCTCATAACACAAGAACTAGGGGTCACCCAATGAAATTAATGGGCAGCAGGTTTGAAACGAACAAAAGGAAGTATTTCTCCACACAACGCAGAGTCAACCTGTGGAACTCCTTGCCAGAGGATGTTGTTGTGAAGGCCAAGACTACAACAGGGTTCAAAAAAGAACTAGATAAATTCATGGAGGACAGGTCCATCAATGGCTATTAGCCAGGATGGGCAGGGATGGTGTCCCTAGCCTCTGTTTGCCAAAAACTGGGAATGGGCGACAGAGGATGGGACACTTGATGATTACCCAGAGGTGGGGAGCAGCATCAGAGAATGCA